ACACACGACCGACAGTCACGTATTTTGCCACGTGGCAAGGCTGTCCCCCGCGCCATATATGCACTCAAACTGCACGCACAACAGCAGGCAGCGACAGGTGAGATGCGCACGAGAGAGATCACGAGAGATCGACATCGACATGCAGAGAGACACGCGAGAGGGGAGAAGCGCACAAGCCCGCACCACCTTGCGCGTCGGCTGAGCCTTGGAAGGTTTTGAGACGATCACGGATGGAGACCAAGGCGCACAGCATCTACATTTACAGGTCAGATTGCAGTCAAGAGATTCGCAGCTGTCTATCATCTCCCACACACTGATCCTTTACGATCGTCGTTCACCACGAGCGCGCATACACCCCGGCAGCGAATATCACGCTCAAAGGAGCACTCTAATACGACTGTACACCGAGATATTCGGCATTGAGACGAGAACACAAATTCAGCATGTCTGCTGCAGAAGTTTCCAACGACCCTTTGGCCGCCAAGGTGAGTTCGAGTCTGCTGCTGACCGGGCCATAGGAGAGCGAGTGCATCTCGAAGGCAGACACGCAGTCCAATCGTCACCTGCTCGTCTTGTTTGAAATGGGGCAAGCTGACACACTTGGTGTATTTTCATTCTGGACTTTTTGCTTCTTCGTGCATTGCGCGGCGAGACAATAGGGCGAGACAGCCCCTGAGGAGGGTGATGGCAACGACCCTCACTTTGAGCCTGTCCACAAGCTGGACACTCAGGTTGAGGTCAAGACGCACGAAGAGGATGAGGAGGTCACTTTCAAGCTGTGAGTGTTGAAGCAGGGAGCAGGAGTCGCATGTAGAGACAGGGGTGAGGCTGTTCAAATGCTTGATGGGAGATGGGTAGGAGGCGCATCAGCATGCAAGGTAGGACGTCCAAGGGTCGCCGGGAGTGTGGGAGCCTGCTCAAGATGTCCTCTGAGCCCAGGTCCGCGCATCCCGATCGCCTCATCCAAACTCGATTCCCGGTCCGTGTCGCGCAAGAACGTCACTGATCCCGTCTGTTTTGGACTGCATCTCACAGTCGTGCCAAACTGTTTCGCTTTGACAAGGACGCGGCTGAGTGGAAAGAGCGTGGTACTGGAGATGTGAGGTTCCTGGCGCACAAGACGACTGGCAAAGTCCGTCTGGTCATGCGTCGCGATAAGACTCTCAAAGTTTGCGCGAACCACTA